AAGCACAAAAGAAAAAGGTAGATTTTCTGGAATAACTACAAAGTGGCTTAGCACTCGAGTATGTGGAAACTAGAAAGAAAAATGAAGGGAAAGATGAGACTGACCCTTCAGACACAGGCTTGGGCAACTCGGTGGTCAGAGATTAGACATAGGAAGACTAAGGGCTAAAGAAGGCAGAAGAAGTCATCCACTTGCAGATACATGCAGGGTGAAACATTCTTGTGAAACAGTTTTCAGTAGATCTTTGAAAGTTGGAAGACAAGAATTACTGAAATGAGAAACTGTGAGCAATGTTGGGAGTTCACTGGAACTGAAGGTACGTCAGCTGGCATTGGCAACAAGCCACAAATGTACAGTGTCTTTTATCGGTGAGTTAGAGACAATCCTACACTCTCTTGGGTTGCAAAGCAGAAGAGAAAATACAATGAACGAAAGCGTTAACACTTACTCTTCCTGTTACTTTAGTACAATGCACAAACCATGTAGCGGTAGTAAGCACTACCAGGAAAGCTAAAGTAGGATATGGACTATTTGGATAGGGTGGTTAGAGAGGAAGAGTAGATATCCAAATCCCTACTAGAGAGACAACAGTGTTCTGTTTCCAATTACAGCAACTTCCACATATGTGTTATTTTGCAATTGGACGTAAGATGACATTTTAAGTTTAGAATCCCAATATTCTAAAACACATACAATATCTATGTTGTTCACAAACAAGATGCAAGCAAATCTTAGCATATATCCACTTTGAATATGTATTCCCCTGCTTGCACAACCCATCAACCTGAGCACTTGATCACTTGGCCTCTGATATTCTCCACTTGTCTCGAAGCCCCAGAAGGGATTCACATAATTCCTAAAGTTACAACTTCACACCAGGGAAACAAAATTCAAAACTCATTGTATCTTCAGGCAACTCAACAGGATCAGATCAACAGAAAGCTCTAACATCTCCAGTTCCCCCTAAGTACACTAAGGAAGAGAGAGAAGTTAAAGACCCCAGGTACAGACCTCAACCAGTAAGAAGCAGGACTCAGAAAGAAGACAACAGCAAGTTGCTTGCTCTTAGTAAACCCTACCACAGCTGTTGTGAGAAGAGTGGCTGCATGTAGCCTAGGGGAAATTGCTGTAGCAGTTTCTCATATACATTACTGTGCATGTTGGTTCTCATTCTTCACCGCAATGTTCTTCTACAGTCATTGAGAACACTGGAAATACAGGGTTAGCTCTTGTAAGCCTCTGGTCACAACCTGTGAATGCACTGACTTCTTCCGTCTACTTTTAGTCAAGGACACAGTACGTAGCATACATGTTAATTTGTTAGCACAGAACTCCAGTAGTAAGACTGTGTCTGGAACAAAGTTTCCTACATGTTTTCTCTGAGACTCATGACAGCCTTCTTGTGTAGGAACACTAACCAATACGTCAACACTCTAGTCGGACCATTTTAAGCAGTGAAAGAAAGAATAAAAACATGACTGATGTGGCAATGAGGAGCCTGCAAAGGCACACTGATTTATACTGTGAGTGGCAGACCTGAAAGTTGGAACCTGTCTCACACTCAGCTGAGAAACTGAGCAACAAGAAAATCCGGATTTTTTGTTGTTTTTGTTTTTTAATCCTTACATACATTTGCAAATGACAGCAAAAGCACTATGAGAAATGATTTAATGTTTATAAGCAAATTTATCACAAAGACAAGTCCCCAAAACAGTAACCAGAGCAATAAGAGCTGACAATTATCTTCTCTTTATTTTTTCCTATCCTTAATTCTCTGAAAAATACAATTTATCACAACAACTAAATAAAAGATCAGCTCATAAGTTCCACTTAACCCTATTTTCTAGGGAATGCAAGCTAGTAAAAAGACAAATCATTAAAGTTAAATAGTTTTGTTGTTTAAAGAAAAAATGAGTTTTCCTCTAATGAACAGGTAGCTATCTGCTTTATGTCTTATTACATATTATTTTTCTAGAAAGTGCCAGTTTTGCTTAATGATGAAAATCTTTAAAATAGCAAACCAACAATAACAGAAGCACCTCATTTCCAATTTACAAAATATGCAATATTACTTAAAAAATGATACAGGGCTTATTTTTCATGTACTTAAAAATTACAAAAGCATTTTACAAAGGCCCTAAACAGTTGATATTCATTACATTTTTAAGCAACTTAAATTGGTGTAAGAAATAGTTAAGTCTTGGTAAAAGTAAATATGTTTTTATATATTCAGGTTCAAGTTTTATCTTTTTTAAAAATAATATTTTGCTGGGCAGTGGTGGCATACACCTTTAATCCCAGCACTCAGGAGGCAGAGGCAGGTAGATCTCTGTGAGCTCTAGGTCAGCCTGGTCTACAAAGTGAGCTCCAGAACAGGCTCCAAAACTACACAGAGAAACCCTGTCTCAAGAAACCAAAATATGTATCTTAATTAAAATACAATTAGAGGTTCAAATCCTATTAAAAGGATAGTACACAGGATGAAAGGATATGCAATGAAAAAAATTCTACTCACAATTACAACACATTTACCAAGACCTTAAGAGTATACTTAAGGCTAATGATATGGCTCAGTGGGATAAGAATGGTTGGCATGCAAGCAAGAGGACTCGAGTTCAAATCCCCAGCAAACACATAAAAGCCAGGTATGGCCACGTGTGCCTGTTAACTCCAATATTGCAAGGCAAAAATAGGCAAATCCCAGATACTTGTTAATCAGCTAGGATAATCATGAGTCTCAGGTTCAATGAGAGACTGTGTCAAAACTAACATGGAATATAGTAGTAGAAGACTCCCACCCTCCTTGTCCGGCCTGATATGCATTGCACACTCTCATACACATTTGCCCATTGTGGTGGTTTGAAAGAAAATAGCCCCCAAAGGGAGTGGCAATATTAGGAGGTGTGGCCTTGGAGAAGTGTGTCATTGTGGAGGCAGGCTTTGAGGTCTCAGACGATCAAGATATCATACAGTATCTCAGATCACTGCAAGATGTAGGATTCTCAGTTACTTCTTCAGTACCATGTCTGCCTGCATGCTGCCATGTCCGACCATGATGAACCTAAGAACCGTAAGCAAGCCACCCCAATTAAATGTATTTCTTTATGAGAGTTGCTGTGATCATGGTGTCTTGTCACAGCAATAGAAACCCTAATACACCCATACATTATTCACGCATCCCAGCACACAGACACACAGAATATATTTAAGAATAATGTAACAACTAAGTATTATTTTTCAAGATTTTACTGGAGTAATGGTATTGTAACAACTGATTTCTAGATCAATGGAAACATGAAAGACCTAAGAAAAGACAAACGAATTCTGTATAAGATATAAGTGGCATTACAAACCATTAAAAGACAGAGTTGGCCTTAGTTAATAGTTTGAATAGCAAAATATTGAGAACTTTAATATAAACTGAATTATTATAAGTAAGTTTACAAAGATAAGCACAAAAGAAAGTGAGGTATGGACCAAGGAGATGACTTAGTGGACAAAGCTTATTGTGCAAGTAAGAAGACAGGAGTTGGAATCCCCAGAACCCACAAAAAAGGTGGGCAACTATAGTGGCCAGTTGTAATCTCCACCCTCAGGAGGTAGAAATAGGTGATCCCTGGGGCAAACTGCTTAGGCAGACTGGCTAAAATCAATGACAGTAAAATCTTACTGCAGTAAATAACTGGAGAGTGATGGAGGGCAGCACCTGATGTCTTTTTAGGCCTCCACATGCACACATCAGCACATGTACTCACACACATCTGTATCCACTCACAGGAATAAGCATACATACACACATATACTACACATGCAAAAAAAAGGGTAGATGATACATATAAATACCAATAATAAAAAATTAAAATTAAAAAATGAAAAAGAATGCTAAATATCATATAGAACTAAAGAATACAAATTAACACAAGTCATTTGTTACACTAAGCTATCAACTATAATAATGTTGGCATCTACAGGCTTTGGAAGATAAAATGGTATATTTGAGTATCATATCAAGTATTTGAGATGCTATGTCAGATTTCAGGGCTTTTTAGATTTTAGATTATTTGCTAGTTATGTTGGAATTCAGTTTCAGATTTTAAAGCACTGTGGATTTTAGGTTTTCAGATTAAAGACACTGAACAAGTATAGCTCTTCCAGAGGCCAACTGGTAATACTTATTATGAGTCTTTAACATGCTATAGACACTTTGATGAGCTATTCAACTTTATGAAATTAACTAATGAAATTCTTTCAATCTATAAAAACCAATGTTTACTTGGAGGCAATTTATAATAATCAAGAAAAATTGAAAAGCAACATGAAATTTCAAAATCAACTTTAAATTATGGCATAGTCCAGGTTACTTAACTTTTAAGTTAAATGTTCATAAATTGTGTTTAATTTAAACAGGTATGTGTGTATAATACATCAATATTTACCAGGCATTGTTCTAAGCACTAAAAAGAATTAAATTCATTTGAATCTTTTAACAGCCCCAAATTAGATACTATTTCCATTTTTCTCGTTATAAAACAATGTTGTAACAATTTCTGTTTTTAAGAAGGTTGAAAATACTCATGCAGGGTCCGTACAAAACTGGCAATAGTACTCTGAAAATTCGTATGATATTGATTTTCATTGGAATTTTAAGCCTTCGCTGAAACAAAAACTACATGAGTGTGCAGGAAATATGGTATTTGATCAAAATCTGTGGAAAAGTAAGCTGTTCACAGGAATTTATTCACAGAAATTATTCACAGGAATTTCCCTCAGTTTAGGAAAGTGTTATGAGTCATCCAATAGCTTATTAAGACTGTGATCGCTAGCACCAAGGGGTTAAAAAAAATCAAGTAAATTTGAGCCTATTTGTTGAAGAATCAAATGATCTGTGCACTCATTTTCTCACGAGTCAAAAGGGAACCAATGGCATCATTTTCTCTAGGCCATATAAAGCTAACGCAAAGGCTAAACTTCTTACCTGTGTAGTAAGAATGGCTACTCACCGGCAGGACAGTTCTCCATCCATAGCATCATGCTCATCTGTGCTGGTGTACGTTAATCTCCCTCCTACAACTGTGCCAACGAAGTATATCAGCCATGCGAGACGTCCTTACAACAAGAAAGAAAAAAGATGAGAAGCACTGATATAAACAAGCTTATTTTTCAGAAATCCCTAAATGAGCAAAAACATACATTCTTCTAAACAAATAATTAACTATTATAAAGTCAGTTTTCAATAGACAGCAGAGCACTGGGTCTCATGTTTATCAAGGCGGTGATAATAGCAAGTCTTCCAGCAAAGGGGAAAAAATAGGTATGAATCTCAGTTCTGCCAATCTGTTTCAATTTTATGAGTTACTTACCTACCTCTTAAAGTCTTAAGATTTTCATTTGCAAATGGGGAAAAGTAAGATGTGACTGAATTTATTAAACTTTATAGATCTGGCCATGGTGATCCACACCTTTAATCCCAGCAGTAGAGAAGTAAAGGCAGGTGGATCTCTGAGTTGAGGCCAGCCTGGTCTATTTAGTGAGTTCCAGCAGAGTTACAGTCTCAAAAAGCAAAAAACATTAAACTTGATAAGACCTTAAATGTACTGTGTATAACCATTACTGTTATCCAGCCAAAAGCACTATAATTGTAGTCACAATGGTGCATGAAGGTGATCCAGCACTGAGGAGAGGTGAGGGGCTAGAAAAGGAAGACAGTAGGAGCTCCATGAATTCCAGGCTAGCCTGGGCTGAATAATGACATTCTGCCCCCATCCCCATCCCCTGGACCTCTCAAAAAGTATTCTTGTTGGCTGGGTATGATAGCATACACAGCAATGACAGGACTTGGAAGTGTGAGGCATAAGGAAGGCAAATCTGAGGTTAGATTGTACTCCTCAGGGACTTCCAGGCCACTCTGGGGGTACATATCAAGACTACCCACAACAACAAATCTTCTTCACCAATAACCATCTCTGTTCTCAATGGTCAATTTTATGAGGGTGTCTGTCTACCCATTTTCATTTTTAAACTACTCTGCTTGTAACATTACAGATAATAATAAATTTACTGTCTTTCAGACTTTTTTTCATATTTTAAAATACAGATTTTTTTCTATGCGCTTCACTGATTACTGAGTTACCTTAATGGTTAAAAATACCAACGATGACACAGCTTTAAGTAATGGAACAAAGAGCTAGGGAGTTAACTTAGTGAAGCATCTGCTTCAGAAGCACCTGAGTTTGGTCTTCAGAACCCACATAAAACAAGCTGGGTGTGGTTGCACCCATTTGTAAGCCCAGTACCAGGAAGCAGAGACAGGCAGACTACTGGGCTCGCTGGCCAGTCAGCAGTCTAGCCCATGTGCTAAGGTTGCTGGCTAGTTAGTGAGAGACTCTGACTCAAAAAACAGCAAAGAACACAGAAGGAGCAATATCTGGTCTATGGTTTCCACATAAATGTACACATGTGCATGTTCACAAATGAATGAACACACACACACACACACACACACACACACACACACACACATATACACACACACACACACACCATCCCACCAAAGGGGAAGTATCTATAGCTTTCACAAATTTTACTTTAGAGAAGCCAAAATTAATAACTTTAGGAATGGAATTATTAGCTAAATGAATTTTAAGCAGCATTATATTAGGTCTCAAGATTTATCAATCCAAGTGCTAGATTCTCTAAAAACTTTTGAGACCTGTAGGAATATTTAAAAACATAAAAATGTCATTTCATAAAGAAATTTTGCATCATTTTTGAAAACTGATTTTTCAAAGATAAGCAAACAATTCCACAATTCCAAATTAATCACGTTTATTTTATTAAGAAATCTTGGAGGCTAGAGTGATGGCTCAGCGGTTGAGGCACCCACACTGTGGCTCACAACTGCCTATAACTCTAGTTCCAGAGGATGCAATGCCCACTTCTGATCTCTGTAGACACCATGCATACACATAGTGCAAATACATGCATGCAGGCAAAATACTCATACACATAAAGGCAAATTTTTTAAAAAAAGAATATTCATGTGACCTTTGTACTTGTTTAAATATGTTGAATAGTTAAGAAAAAGCTTGTGCTTGTTAAAGGACTTGGGAAAAACAAATCCATTTTCAACAATGCTTTTCCTGCAGATGTTAGGATCCATGATTACACAGCAGCAATCAACAAACCACTCCCTTGGGACAGTAGGGGATCCTCAGCCTGCTTCAAGACAAACACCCTATAAAGAAGATACACATTTTGTCCATCACAAAACCTTAAACAAATCAGAAACTGCCAATGTTATGGCATATCCACTAACAGTACGAGACAGTTAAAGCCGAAGAAAAGGAGCACATCACAGAACAAGTTTCACTGCATGTATAAGAAAGATACTAGCACAAAGTCCATGTGAGAAGCTGAGTTCACGTTTGTGCTTCAAAAGTGTTTCAAGAAGCTCAAAAGAAAAGTCTAGGCAACATATAGTTCTCCTGGTAAGTATGCTAACAGAGTGCCTTTTTCTATCAAGCCTCTTGAATCTTGCAACTTGAATATGGAGTATTTATGATCCTTATTTTTACTTCTAGAATACTCTCTTAATCATAAAAGTATTCATCCTTATATCTTACATCAACAAATTATGAATACTCTTTGTTGATGTACTTATATACTTTCCTGTAGAGTATTTCTCATTTTAAAAACTGGACATGTCTCACTGTCAGTTTTTCCAATATTTTATCATAGTAGTTGCCAATTTCAATACTGAAATCTTACAACCATGATAGTCCTATGTTCTACTGGGGACCACCTAACCTAACCCAAAGATCTACTATATTTGAACAGGTCTGCTGAAATAAAAACTCATATACCATACAACTCAATCTTATGAGTAAAGTCACAGGACTGGGCAACCAACACTACAAATTTTTTAAGTGTTTCCCCATTTCCAAAATCAAATCTCACAATGATTAAGTGTACTAAAATTAAACTTGATAGAGCTAGGCATGGTGGTGATGGGTCCTCTCTGAAGGAACAAAAAGTGTGTCATTGTTTGGAGAGATAACATTTTACATACTCCTTCAATTGCTGGATGTTGGGATTATTTTCATCTCCTGGCTACAATAGCATACTGTGATGGACACTGTATATACTGTATAAGTGCATGCCCTCAAATCTCCACACATCTAAGAATGGACTACTGTGTCATATGGAGCCTCTATGGTACAAAGAAACTCTCACATTGTTTCCATCAAGCTGCACCATTTGGCAATCCTGAAAATGAAGTGTGAAGTCCTATGTTCTACAAATATTGTTACTAACACTTGTAATTATGTTTTTTTTCTCTTTACATCTATCCTAGTGGTGTGAGATGGTATCTTAGTGTCATCTTGAGATGCCTTCCCTTATGACCAATGGTTTTTAGCATATTTTCATGTGTTTACTGGCTACTTTTATGCCTTCTATGGAGAAAAGTCTATTTAAATCCTTAAGCTATTTTCAAGATTTGTCACTATTACTGAATTGTAAACATTCTTCATTGCATTGTTTGTAGGTTTTATTTTCACTTTCTTGATGGTGTTCTTCAGTGAACAAAATTTTTACTTCTGATATACTCTAACTACCTATTGTTGTCTGTTTGGGGATGCTTGCTAAAAAAGATACGCCTACCTCAAAGTCATAAACATTTACACCTATGTATCCTTCCGAGCATTGCTTGACCTCTTATGTTTAGGTCCGAGAATTCTAGCACAGACAACAGACTAATGTGAAAGATGAACACAGGCAACTTGAGCCCTGGCTATCAGCTAACTACACCACCTCAAAAAGCCCATGAAATTAAGATTAAAAAAAGCAATTGTTAATTGACAAATCACTAAGCTTTGGCAACAAAGAAGCAGAACACAGTCCCCTCTGCTTCACTGCTTTCTATTTTAGCACATAAGGACTTCTAACATTACATATCTTATATAACTGCTCTTAATTCCTGCCTGTCAACTCCAGCAGACTGTAAACTGCATGACAACAGGCACTTTGGTCTGTTCGGTTTTCTAATCAACTCCACAATCTAATTCACAGACTGGCATGTATTATTGGTTTAACATTAGCAATTTATTGAACACTGAAATACACACTCACTAAAAATAAACATAGACTGTAATTCCCTGACTCTCAAACCACACCCCTACCCCGCACCACCGCCCAGTGAATTCCCTGACTTTATAAATTTATCTTTTTGTTAAAACTTATTTGTAACCCTAAATTGGTACTCAAATAATTCACATATATGTGCCTAACCTTAAAGGCTGGTGTCTGGTGTACACGATTCCAGCTCCTATTGAGCACTGTGACCCTCTTGCCTTATTTCAGCTCTAACCGGCATTCTTTTCAGCCTCTGTATTTCTATTGTTTTTCCCCACTTTCACACCATTAGTGATCTCAATCTTTGAGATAGCCCAGGTAGAATACTGAAGTGCTATGTAGTGTTCCTGAACGGGGGTGGAGGGCGGGCAGGCGGGTATTATGTATGCTAAGTGGTAGTTGGTGGCCATTTGGGGATGATGAGGAAGTGTGCCGCTGGGGGTGGGCTTAAGGTTTCAAAAGCCTCCTGCCATTCCTAGTTCTTTCTTTGCTTTGTTTGTGAATAGGAATATAAGCTCTCAACTGCCACTCCAACACCATGCCTGCTACCATGCTATGTCCATGATGGTGATGAACTCCTAGTCCCCTGGAACTGTAAGATCCAATTAAACGCTTCCTACTCTAAGTGGCATTGGTCATGGAATTTTTTTTTCATGGCAATAGAAAAGTAACTAAGACATGTGCCTTCTATATAACATATGTGTTAGTTATGCTGTGTTCAGGTACGAGTCAATAATGCTATTGGTTCTGAGTTCAATGTTAATGAACCAACAATACATTTAAATAAGAGCTCTTATAACTACTTATACATGAAAAATGGTTGTGTCTGATGGAAACGCTACAGCCTAATAGTAACAATAAGAACAATGATTTGATATTTGTGAAAGTGGTGTTCTGATTATATAGGCCATTATCACCAAATAATAAGAATCAGCTATATCTCTTAGAATCCTAGCAATCGTAAGGCTCTTAAC